ATACCGCTTCTGGGGAATTTTCCCCTTTGGGCTAAAGTAAAATAAAATACTTGGCAGTGACTGAACTATCTGCGTATTTAACAACTACCCTATTAAATCATTTTAAATAACAAGAATTTAAATTGCTAGATGACTAGGAAAATAAAGTTCATTGCACTGAAACATTGAAGTTGACATGCTCTCTATATTATTCCAAAAAAGTTTAATATTTTTGCTATATTTATTGGCTTAACTGAAGTCAGAAATTAATGTAAAAAACAATTAGTCAAAATTATTTTACTGTGTTTCTCTTTTGTGCAATATTTAGTTAATAAGTAGCAAATCTTAAAACTAAATACCCCAAATTAATTTTTTCTTCTCTTTTCTTTCTTTCTTCTTCTTTTTTAAATTCCTAAAATTATCTCACACTCTCCCTATATATTGCTCAAATTTTCAATCGTTAATAAAATACTTTGTAGGCCCGGTGGTGCAGTGGCTAGCGCATCGCACAGCAGCACACAGGTCCAGGGTTCAAACCCTGGGCTGGGCAAGGGTTTCATCCCTTGATTTCAATCCCTTGGGTCGATAAAATAAGTACCAAGTTTGCTTGGGGACTAAACATTGGGGGTCTTGCGACAAGCTGACCACTTTTTCAGGGCATATGCTCATGCACCCCAGGATCAAGAAAGCAGATTTCGGGGCACTGCAGGCCTTGGCCCATTACGGCTGTTTGCGCCACTGAGTTTAGTTTTTAGTAAGAAAATACTTTTATTTTTCCACTCATTCAAATACAGTTTTTTAAACTTGTAGTGGATGACACTTGTTGTTAATACAGTTTTTTCACATACACTGCTCGACATTGAAAATGCAACACCAAGAAGGAGTGGTCAGAAATTTATGCAAATTTAGAGTAGACGCATGTCACTAAGTTATTCGAATGATGTGAAATGTGCAGCTCTCCAACACACGTGAAGTAAGATATAAAGGAAGAAACGTGCAGAATGGGCAATATTCGTGTCGTTATTTCTGCCAGACGAATTATCGAAGAAAGTTGGTTTTTGTCCCGGAGGATACGTGTAACAGGAGAGAATGCCAGGCCAATGAAGGCACTTCCAGCCAGATAGACGATTTTACGAGGGGTAGCGTGATCGGACTGAAGAAGGTCGGGTTGGTCCTTACATCAAATCGCAGCTGATACCCACATGAATGCCGAGCATGGTGCATCGGCTATGGCGAACATTGTTGGAACAAGGAAATGTGGGAAGAAGGAGGGGTGCAGGTGCAGCCAGAGTGACGTCAGCACACGTGGATCAACACATCAGCCAACAGAATCCAAGGGGCGCCAAACTGATGTTACGACATATTAGAATTAAATGTTTTCCATCCTTGGCAAGCAGTAGGGGGCACAAAATTTTCAGTTGTCCCTGGGCCCTGAAAACCCTAGCTACGGCTCTGTCTCAGATGAGTCACGCTTCTGTTTATCCAGTAACAGTTGCCGCATACGTGTGTGGCGTTGATGTAGAGACAGATCTAATCTGGCAGTAACTGTTGAACACCCCACTGTGTGATCATGTGGCATAATGGTTTGGGGCGCTATTGCCTATGATTCCAGGTGACCTCTAGTTCGTATTCAGGGCACTATGACGGCCCAACGATACTTGGATAATGTACTGAGGCCGGTGGCAATCCCCTACCTTCAGGGACTGCCCAATGCAATTTTTCAGCAGGATAACACCCAACCACACAGTGCTCGCATCTGCCAACATGCTCTGCAAGCTATACAGATGCTTCCCTGGCCACCGTACTCTCCTGACCTGTCACCAATCGAACATGTGTGGGATGTGATTGGACGCCGTTTGCAGACTCTGCCCCTGCCTCGTTCAGAAGACGAACTGTGGCAAATGGTTGAAAGGGAATGGAGAGCCATCTCTCAGGACACCATCCGCACTGTTATTGACTCTATGTCTAAATGTGTTTCTTCGTGCATCGCTGTCCGTGGTGGTCCTACATCCTATTGAGACGACGCCGTTTTCGCTCTGTATTCTGACTATCATTTTGAAATAAAGATCACTTATTGCTGCTTGCTGTCTCTTTTTTCCAAATTTCATCACTTTCTGACCACTCCTTCTTGGTGTTGCATTTTCAATGTCGAGCAGTGTATAAAATTTTTTTTTTTTTTTTTTTTTTTTTTAAATTTTTTTTATTGACCTAAGTAGGAATTGAATTTATTTATTTATATATATATATATATATTACTTGTTTAATACTTATTTCCTTTTAACCATTATGCATTTAGATGTTTGGTTCAGAATGAAAGGGCTTTTCCTTCTTTAGTGACATTAAGCTTGATAGCTAGAGGGAAAGTGGGACAGGATATGGAGGGCTATTCAAAGCTGTAAAAGAACAAAAGCTTTGCAACTTGAAAGTGTCACATAACCTTTGAAGTATTTTCCTGCCACTTATTTGCTAAGGAATGAAGACTTTTTGTGATCTTACTTTACTTGAATATTTTGGGAAGCTGGAAAGGAATTTTAAAAACTTAATTCTTATCTATTGGAAACTATTTAGCACTTTTTAAGCATAGGAAATAGGGAAGCGGGAGGGTGTCTGAGCGCCCAGTGCACCCTCCCTGGCTCCGCGCCTGCCAAGCCATATATATTCAGCCCTGAGTATTTTTTGTGGCATCCTTAAGAAAGTATATGCTCATGCATCTTGATATATGCCCAAGAAATTTAGTCAATATATTAAAAATACTAATCCAGATATAAAATACCAGGGGCATTTTGGCATTTAAAATCAAGGAAATACCTTTTCCTCAGAGCAGTTTTGGGAAATTTGGGCTTTCATAGCAAAACCCTATGCCAGCTGGAGAGCTATGTCAAAGAACTAGAGTCCTACAATGGCTGTGGAAATTGATCTAGGAACGTAAATATCTATCTAAGATGATTACTATTAATGATTATTATTAATTTATGGTACAGTATCTAGATCTATCTAAGATGCTGTAGCATAAATTAAGTCGTGTTTTAAAATATATGAAATTGCATTGGGTTACTGCTTTACTAGACAGCAATCATGACATATGTTGATCAAATCATCAGAGAATTATTTTATTTGTCTAATTGGTTGACTAGTTATTAGATTGAAATCCATATTCTGAATTGGTATGGTAATATTTTCCTGCTGTCAGCAAATTAAGTAAGTTAAAATAAGTCAAACAAATAGTCAAAACATGCAAAGGAAATCAATACCATATTGACCTCAATGGAATAAGCAATGGGAGGTAAACTGGCATTTCAGGAAATATTTTGTAAGAAAGGGATGGGCTTACCTATAAGATAGAACCTAAATAAACTTTGCTAAAGGTAACTAAATAGTCTTAATACTAAAATAAAACCTAACTGAGTCTATTTTTATAACCATTTGATAATAAATAATAAATTACCTTAACATTTTTTCTAAATGTTAAACTGCTCATATCATTGGTTGACAAATATTTTATCCTAATATAAGCTTGCATTATTTATAACTGTGTATATTGAATTCTTCTTCTTCAATGGCCAGACAGCCCAGGATGGGCCCTTGCCTTCCTCCGAATCGAATTCCAAGCTCTTTTGTCCGAGGCCATGGACATTTTCTTGGTTATTTTTAAAATTCTTAAGTCTGTTTCCAAACAGTCGAGCCACCTAAGTTTAGGTCTCCCTCTTTTACGGGTGCCAAATGGTCTGGCCGAGATCTTTTTAGTTACTCGATTTTCATCCATTCTGCACAGGTGTCCTGCCCATTTAATCCTCTGAATTCTTAGACGTATATAAATGAATCCTTAGACTTGAAGACGTATATTGAATTCTGATATGCAAATTTTGCTATCATTACTAGTTTTTGAGTGACTTTTTTTAATATTACTGAATATATGTAATTTTTTTTTTTTTTTTTTTTTTTTTTTTTTCAGTCAGTTTGTACATATGCTGAAATTTACATTGCAAGAAATGTTTTGATTTCTATTTAGAAAGATTTACTCTGCTCTACTTTCAATTTTTATACTTGAAGTATGGTTTCCACTTGATTGTGTTTGTAAATCAAGGTGCTCAGAGTTTTTGTGATGTAAAAGATATATATGTAATATATTCAGGAGCAGGAATTTTGGTTGCGTAGATGATCCATGATGACTCAGTTGTAATATGTTCAGGCTCAGAAGCAATGACCAGAAATTTGGAGGCGAATGCAGATTAAATCTTCAGTTTTATTTTCGGCAATGTGTTGCGGCTACACACAAGTCGTCACATTAAATGTGCCTGTTTCAAAAGGCTTACATTTTTGATAATTTTGTAGCAAGAAAGCAGAGCAAACAGACAGCAGTGTAGCTAGGCCAAAGCATAGAACAGAAGTGTGTAATGTTCAGGATGAAATTTTAAGTCAGACTGAGTTAGTTTTAGTTTTCAAAGCAGTTTGATTGGACAGTTAATATTGCTATGAAATTACTATTGGCTGGTTGAGTTTTAGTTCATTTACATCACCAGAATTACGTAAGAGTCATACGACATTGATTTTTCTCGAAATGACGCATTGCAGAGAGAGGGGTTACAATTTTTAGAATAGAGAAGGGAAATTAATTTAGGCTGCTAATTTAATCTTTTACATATTCTTTTTCTTACATATATATATGCCAAATTTCGAGAAGGTTGGGTAATATTTAGGGATTGCATACATTGATCACTTTCATCTCAAACTATTGAATAGAAATTCAGTAATATTGAAGCAATTTGTACTAATGGGCTTCTTGTGTATTTCTTTCATCTTTTGCGGGTAATTGAAATGGAAATTCTTTGTACTTTTATCAAACAAATAAAAGTTTGCAAAAATGAAATTTATTTGTTTAATTAAACTTGCATATCTAATATATAATTCTTTAATTAAAACCTTCTAAAAAAGAATTCATGTGTTCTAAAAAGAATACATGCTAGCATATGTATGATATATAAACAGTCTATTTTGATTATAAGTATTTTATATTCTTATAGGTTGAATGTGCCAAGAAGGATTTGGAAATGAAATGTGAATGTTTATCCAAAGGTACGCTTGTAAATAGAGATCTGGTTCAAAAGAAGATGATTTCAAAGCAAAGCATTCATAAAAGAAATAAAATCAATAATATAAAAGTATTAGCAAGTACATCATCTGAAAATAATGAGTACTGTCCAGATGAAGTTGAAGGTTCAGTATTAATTGTAACTGCTCTGAAACTATCATGATTATTTTTTCATAACATAAAATGCTAAATCTTGCATTAGAAGAAAATATATTTTTTGTGATTTGATTATACAGTTGTGTTCCTATGCAAAATATTTTGCTTAGTTCTATAATATATTTTTTTTTTCATAATAATGCTTGGTGCATCATGTTTTTAAATATCGTGGTGCCTTAGTGATCCACAACTAATATACTGACTCAAACTACATGTGATTAAAGTATTTTGGAGTAATGCACCTAGTACATGGGTTGCTATTTATATTTCTGGCCTAATAATGACAAATGTTTATGATTGAAATTGGTTTTATTGTTTTTAAAATATTCTCCGTGAAGATCAGTACACTTTTGCATGTGTTTGAATCAATTTTTCAAAGCAGTTTTTCTACTCTGATTGAGGTAACTCCAAAACGTGCATTTTGAATGCATCAACCGCTTCTTCAGGTGTCGCAAATCGCTGACCACAATGTTTATTTTCCATGTGCAAGAATTTAAAAAAAAAATCATTGGGTTCCAAATCAGGGCTGTACGGTGGATAACCCATCAATTCGATGTTTTGGCTTATCAAAAATTCCTCTGTTTGAGCCGATATGTGAGGGCTCACATTTTCATGATGACGAATGATTCGCCTCTTTTGCTTTTTTCAGATTTCTCCGATCACATCTGGACAACAAATGGTCATGTACCATTCAGAAGTGACCATCGTGTATTGCTCTAATGCCACTGTTGCCACGTGACTGGTAATCCTGAAGAAACAGGCAACCATTTGTTTTGATGTGCTTCTTCTGCGCACTTTTGTTGGATTTGGCTCATCTTGGAAGACTCTTACAGTCGACTGCTGTTTTGTTTTGGTTTCATATGCAGAGATCCATGATTGATCCATGATTGTAGATGTTATACATAGCCTTTGATGCACCATGAGCATATTTTTCCAACATTTAATTGGACCAATCAACATGAGCTTCCTTTTGAGTGTTTGTCAGATTATGCAGGATCCAATGCAAACAAATCTTTTTTATGGCTAAATAGTCATGAAATATCTTATTGATGCTTGTCATACTAATGCCCAAAGATGCCTCAATATCATGGTATATCACATGACGATCTTGTGTTATCAATTCACACACAGTATCTGCATTTTCTGGCACAACAACCAATTTTGGACAATCTTCACAGAATTCTTCCTGAAGCAAATATCGATCACGATTGACTTCATTACACCAGTTTTTTTTACAGTGCTTTATCACTGTATAAAGAATTAAATTCATCGAAGCATTCTTATCTTGATAATCCATGTTGAAAGTTATGAAAAATAATTGCACGAATATGTTCACAAGTCAATTCCATTTTTTGCCTGAGATGAATTTTTCACTTTAATGTAAACAACACAAATCATGCTAAAATAGCAGAGTGTTCTGAAGAAGTTATGATTAAAAAAATATCAAACTTTCAATTGGAATCATCTGCGGTCGCTTAGCAACACTTACTATTGCCAAGGGCAGAAATATGAATAGCAACCCTTGTTTGAAGGCAAGGACTCTTTCAATTTTCTTATTTTGTCGTTAAAGAAATTTTGCAATCTATAAAAATCAAGGTCAACAGGAAAAAAAATCGAATGTGGCTGGCACATAAACTCCTGTGATTTCATGTTCTAAATAACAATAAACTTTAACATGTTCTAAATAACAACAAGCTTTAAGTAAAGGTATCAAGTGATACTTTACTTAAAGCTCAATGCTATTTAAAATAGGGAACTGGTTGATCATTTGTAAATAAAATTTAATATGTTTACAAATTTTATAGCTCAGTGATAATTAAAAATGCAATTCACTTTTTACTATTATATTCTCCCATACAGTAGAAAATTAGTACTATGTAGTACTAAAAAAAATATGTCCGAAAATTTTAATGTATGTCCGAAAAACATTTATATTTATAGTGCAATAATATTTCAAAATCATTATCTTATCAAATTTCCTAAAGAATTTTATAACACTTTTTTAAAACTTAGACAAAAAAAGAAAAACATCAAATAGCTGTCATTTTTATTATTTCACTTAAAAGTATATATTGCGTTTCTAAAATGAATTACAGTTTTCTATAAACGTCTCAAAATACTTATATCAGCATTGCTTGATAGGTAACTTAATGGCCCATAAATATACAAGAGTAAAAATTATTTCATATTTTAAGGCTTCTACAGTAGAAGTTTAAGCTCTGACCTCCATAGTTTGAAGATAATATTAAATTACACTGGTTATCATAAATTAAGGAAAAATCACAAAAATCACAATTACTGAAAAAGTTACATGGAGAATTTTATGAAACTTACCCACAATGTACAACATATAGTAAGGTATCAAATAACATAAAAATAAATTACCAGACAATTATGGTAGTATAGAAATTAGCACATGTATAAAATGAACAAATCGAAGGTGTCAGTTTGCTATAGTAAAAGTACCTTCAATATGGAATAAAATCGCCTCTAGAAGCAATACAGCACATTCAGCGATGTGTGATGCTTTCAATTATGCAGTCTATCAGTTCCATAGGAGCCATTGCTCATGCAAAGCAGTTGCAAGGGTCTAAGGGGGGCGGATTGAGAACAGCTAGATGTCTCTCTAAAGCATCCCAAACGTGCTTGATAGGATTCAAGTCCGGGGATCGAGCTGGCCACTCCATGCACATAATTGTTTCCTGTTGAAGATAATCATCTACGAATACGAGCCCTGTGTGGTCTTGCGTTATCATCCTGTAACAGAAAATCATCACCTATTGCCCTGGCACATAAGCATCAAGGATGTCATCTCTATAAACCGGAGGATTTGTGGTTTCTATTTGAAAGACATGGAGGTCTGTGCGTTCACCCAAAGAGATGCCACCCCAAACACAGACAGTGCCTCTTCCGTATGCATCTCTTTAATGAATGTTTGACAGATGATAATGGGTTCTAGGTTCTCTTCATATCAAATTACGCCTACTATCGCTTTCTAGACTAAACCTGGACTCATCCGTAAAGAGCACAGCCCTCCACTGATCAGGCGTCCAGTGGACATGTTATCGTGCCTACTGCAAACGGTCCCTCCTATGGTGTGACGTGAGCAGCAAGCAAATAGCTGGTCGTCTCGCTTACAGACCACCTTCGTGAAGCCTTCTACGCACAGTTGACGTTGACACCAACCTTCCATTGGCTGCAGCAAGGGAGGATCTAAGAAGAGTTGGAGTAGCGGTTCTATTCCTGTGTGCACATAATGTCAAATATTGGTCATCGGCACTCGTCGTAGCAGTTGGCCGTCCTTGGTTTAACCTCCTGGATGCCGAATCTGTGGTTTGAAATCGCCTCCAAAGTCTATGAACCACAGAAGGAGACTCACATTTAGTCATCTGGCCACTTCTGTTTGACTTTATCCTGCCTCTAGTCTCCCAATGGCTTTCCATCATAGTTCTGCAGGCAAATGATGCTTGGAGGTCATTGTTACAAATTTGCTATCTCACACATGGACCTTATAAGAAATAAGCCAACCTAAATGGCTTTTCTCCCTCTTCTGACACATTCCCGCCTGTCACCTTGATCACATCCACGACTTGCAGAAACTTACAATTGTTGGCTATTGCAGTGTGTATAATTGTCAAGAAAAAGTTGGTTGTAGCGCTTCATTTCACAAATTGCAATTTTTAGATATTTTTATTTTTGAAACTGAGATTGATTTTTAAATTTAGCATGTTTATCAAGCATAATTAACATTCCAAATAATTATAAAGCTGTTGCATGCTTTCAGGCCTGGCTATTTTTTTAGCTTTTCATAAGCTGTAACGAAATTTGTAACTACTTCTTTTAAAAAACAATATTTTAAATCTGAACTAATAGAAAGTTTCAAACAAAGAATTTTCTCTTGTAATTTTTATGCTTTTTATTGGTGTAAATAAGTAAAAAATACTAAAATACCTAAAAATGAATTTTTGAAAGTTTTTGCTTAAAATTCTAAGTTGTGCTGCTTTTTTAAGATTGTAAATGAATATTGTAGCATATTTTTTATAAAGGAGTTTTATTTCAATTATATTTCACAATACATCATAGTGATAAACACTTTTAACACCTTAATAATTTTTATAATTTATTGTAATGTCAAAATTGTAAACTGTAATAATTGATTGTGCTAACATTTTATAGTGATTATTTTTTTAATTTAATTCTCGTTCTGCATAAGATTTTTTATTTACTCTGAAATTAATTTATTAGCCCAGAAAGGCTATTAATTTCGAAATGGCGTTTTGAGCTGTTTCATTATAAACGTCCGTTTCACTTTGCAAATTGTTGCCACCAAATAATATCGCCTTGTATTATATGTAAAGAAATTTAATAATGAATAATCTACATGAACACATGTATGTTTCTCGCACTGTGAAATAATGACGTTATCTAGAGCCATTAAATAACGTAATCTTCCACCTGAACAGACGAGTTTGGAATTTGTTTTACTCCATTTTGTAAAACTTTACCGAATTTTTGATTAAGAAACTCAGTGAGTTCAAAGTGAGCAATGCCAACACTGTACAGAAAATAACATTTTTATCTCCAGCTCGGAAATTCTAAAGGTTCTGCTGTTTTCAGATATTTTGTGATACTGCTGTTGAATTGAATTTTGTGTGGTTTTCGTGCAAAGAACATGATATTCAATAAATAGAGGTAACATACAAAGCATTAAAAAACGTCCCTTTGAGAAATAAATTCTGGAAACATTCAGAAAATCTGAATGCTTCTAGAATTTATTTATTTATTTACATTACACTGAGAAAAGCTTATGCTCCGAATTTTATTAATTATTAAAATAAATAATCATCTTATGATGTTAATAATCTATGATCTATGGCCAAATGATCTATGATCAAATAAATGATCGTCTTGTAATGTTATATTAATTTTAAAAACTACTGCCCGAAAATGCTCATAAAATTTAAAATATATTATCAATCATCATATGATGTTAATAATTAATAATCATATGATGAAATAAATGACCATCTTGTAATGTTGTGATAATTTTATAAACCACTGCCTGAAAATGCTCATAAAATTTTAAAATATATATCAGATCTTGTTTAATTTTGCATTATTTGTTTCAAAGCTTCATGTGCTATCATTCTTATTTAATTTTACTTTATTTGTACTCAAAAGTAAATTCATAAATTTTGTGTTTAGAGTTTTTAGTGTTTTACCAAAATAAAGATGTTTATACAAGAATTGCACATGAAAAAGAATGCGCAAAATGCAGTACAAAGTGCGTTATAGAGATACATTAAATCTTATTTGAAAAAACTGTGACTTTCATAATCTCATCACTTATACAATGTATCGCATTTAATAATTAAAAATGATTATGTGATTCGAACACCATAGGTTTCAGTGTTAAAGTAAACCAGATTGTCCCTACTCTTTCTTGCGGACATGTGGAAGATGCGCGCCCCACCCTCTGGGTTAGTGAGTTAGTTATCTCTTATAAGGTCCATGATCTCACATTTCTGATGTCACTATCACAGTAAAATATGTGAGCTTGCTCTCAAACATGGACTTTTATTCTCCTCGCAGATGACGTATTCCGAGTGCAGCACCACTAATTTGCATATTGCAGTTTTACTCAGCTACTTTTACTTGGCAACATATTCAAATTTAACACGGTTTGCCTTATTTTTGAGGGAGTTATCGCTATTTTTGTGATTTTTCCTTAATTTATGATAACCAGTGTAGTTGCCACTAAAAATTGGTTGTGTTAATTTTTGTTGTTGTTGCAGGATAGAATTAAAAAATAGCATATTAGTGGCATCATCTAAAAAATAAATAATTAACTAAAAGTTTTAGATTGCATACTGCATGATTAGCAAAGTAAATAAATTTATAGGTTTTCTGTTGTAGCTGGAAGTCCTGCAGCTGCTAATGTATTTACCTATACCTTGTTTTCTACTTGAATTAATTTTACAATTTATGCATTTTTGGACTCAGGATTTAAAAATCTGCAATTCTATATAATAAATAAATATTTATATATAAAACATGGCTACAAATTCATTTACATACAAAATTGGGGTGATGGCAGTGGTGCGCTGATGAGGTGATTGCATGTGAGGATTGGTAACTGACTGATTGCATATAGAACTAAAACACATTTATTATAAATCTATGAAAAGCTTTATTAGCAATACATAATGAGAATTAATGGTTACTATTAAATGCATAGATAAGATAAATATTGTTCTCAAATTATTGAATTACCAAATATTTTTTAATTAAGTCAAAATTAAAACGAGTGATTTTTTGCATGAAATCTATAATTCTTTATTTGATTTTTAGATATATGCCAAACAATTACAGCAATATTTCATTAAAATAATATGTCCGCTCCATTGTAAGTTCAGACATCCAAAGCAGATTTTCACTGTAATTTGACTGTTTACTATCCAACATCGTACATGTAACCACAGCCTGAAATTTTCCTGTTGTGCCTGATTTTCAGTGACAGAGCAATGTTTGATTTATCTGAATAAGCAACATATATAATGTCGAAATTTCAAAACACAACAGCCTTACATTATTGGATTTCAGGAAAGAAATTTCCCTAAAATTAGTGTATTTTGTGTGTAACATTTCATGGCCCATTTTTTTTCACAAAGAAAACTGTCTCAGGAAATTCATGCCTTGATTTGCTTCATTGTTAAGCAAGGGGATTTTTGAGGAATTGGTTTAGTCTTGGAGCAAGGTAATGAAAGTTTTATTTTCCAGCTAAATGATGGCACTTGGCACTGTGGTAATTGTGGGCCTAAAGATTCATAACTTCACATTCACCCATCATTTCCCCCTGACCTCACAATGTGATTTCTTTTTGTGGGAATTCCATCAAAGATTTAATGCATGTGTCTCTTCTATTGAATACTTTGGATGAACTGAATACATGCATTCATCAGCAATGCATTCTGTGGCATATTACATAAGGTATCGAAGGAGTTTGTCTATCGACTTTGATGTATACGATGCAACCAGAGGAGGCCACATTGAACATTTTGTTGAAAACTTTATGTAACCAGTTATTTTGTATTTTAAACAAATTTGTATTTTTAAGTTAAAATGTATAAATGTTAGTACTTTAAAATTGTATAAAGATATCCTGTATAAATCAATTTGTACTTCAAGACCTTAATAACTGAATATATTAGCATGAACAGTAATAATGCATCTTATAGCATAATCATTTCCGAACATTCCCTTTCACATTTTTCCCTGATATTCATACTGAAGATCCATGGGAGATGAAAGTTATTATTATATAGTTGTATATATAAAATTTTAATTCATTAGAAAATTATCAAAATTAGAATTTAAGAGGAAATTTAATATTGTTATAACAATAATTACTCATATTGTCATAGTCAAATTTTTTTTTTAATTGCAGTTATAAAAGTCTTGAAATTTATTATTGTTAAAATGTTATTGCCAAAAAAATCAGAATGAAAACTTACAAAACCTACATTATTATGCTTTGCAATTAATTATTTCTAACAATTTCTGATAAGATGTTACATCCCTGTTTTAATTACACATTTCTTTATTGTATTAGATACATATTATTGAGTTGACATGTCTGATTGTAGATACAGTGGGAACACAGCCTCTGAGAATGGAGCATTGGCCCAATGAAATAATTTGTATTCTGACAAAAGCATCACTCCAGGTTTTCAAGATATACTGTGATTAAAAGGTCATCAGTAAGTGAAACGTTGTTGAAGATGATACATGAGCATGAACCATATAGAAAACACAATTAGGAATACTGTTACATATTACTGGAAACAGGAATATTCTGAGGACTTTTAGTATAAAACATTAACTTCACATCTGGCATAAGTACAGCTAATGAGTGCACTATATGCCAATTCTACACCAAATTTTATAGTAGAAATACAACATTTGAGTCTTGTGATCAAAGACAGTATCAATTCTATATGGACTTCTCGAGATTATTTCTGAAGCCATTTCCCAGCAAAGTATTCATGCTACTGCAGACAAGCTCACTATAGAGCAAATGGCTACTATTTGGTGTGTCTATGTCTATAATAGACACACCAAATAGTGAAAACAATATATATAATCGACACAAGCTGACACTAATCAAGAAACCTTGCTGTCTGAAATTCTCCAGTTAGTCTTGTCTGAGGAATAAATTGAATGGAATATAGCATTGGATTATAATATAAAATGAAAAATTGATATAGCTCCATAATCAACAAATAGGTGACTTGAACAGCTACCAGAGTGTGATTCCAAACATAATTTCTATGCATTAAATTTTACTACTTTTACTGCTGTATTGTAATAATTCATTGCATCTTCTTCCGTCAGAACTATCATAGTGGTTGGTTTAGTGCTAAGCTGCCTGACATGCAACATTAGTTTGTCTTCAGGCATCCAGAAGTATAGTCAACAGACATAATCCCTTAATTTCATTTTTTTTAATGGCAGGTACTAGCCCTTTTGTTAGGTTTTACCTACATCTATTTATTATGTGGTCGTTTTATTATGCAGGCTCCTAATAGGCAGCCACTGTTATCTCCTGTGAGAGGACGGACGATTTGCATCCATTCCTTCTCCGGGATTCAAACCTATGCTCTTCAAAACTGCAGTCAGCTTCCCTAACCTCTATACCGTCTGGACGGCTAATCCATTATGTTGTATAACGATACCCAATCACATATCATCATGATTGAGTTATGAAAATATTAACAAAATTCTTGCATTTTATGTTGTGAAACAAAATACCAAATTCTGTGTTTTACTTTTTCCACAAACAGGAAATGCAAGAAATTGTGCTCAAGTAAGAAAAGTTTTAAAATGAAAAATATACAAATTTAGTCACAAATAACAAAAAATGATGAGTAAATTTTTATGAGTTACAGTATAGTATGGACCACAATTAATGCTAGAAACTGCCACCTATTATTGGCTCTTTATTTGCATCAGGTAATCTAGGAAGTTCCAAAGCTGAGACATGATTTTTCAGCAATGCTTTTCATAACGTGTAGGATTATGATTTTGTAATGATAATTTAAATAGGGCTTAAATTCTAAAATCATATGGAAGGCCGTCAGGAAGGAGGATAAAGTAGTAAATGGAAACTAATAATTAAATTAAAACTCAGTAAAATGTAAAGCGATAAATAAAGATTTAACAAATCATTAAATGAATGATAAATAATCAAGTAAAATACCGAATCTCGTATTATTTGGGCCTGCGGTTGGAATTACAATTTCACAAAGCTAAGAAATAGCTTTACCAGCTGGATTAGTCCTATAATGCACTATTTCAAAGAATGACAGAATCAAAAAACATTACTTCTCCAGCACACCAATGAAAAAAGGTAAAATGTCACTAAACATAGATAGAATGCTAGAAAAAATAGAGTATGGAAGGAAATTTCTAACAAAGAAGAGTAGCTTTGAAAGCAAAGGAAGAGTCCAGCGCTTTCTGACCACTATGTTTTGCTGATATAATTCTAGTTGCCAAGCAGGATGTGACAAGGGAAAATATCTCCAATAACAATGTGACTATAAATGTAAGGTTCTGTGCAAGTGGAACAATTTTCTTCCGGCAGCGCTTAAACTGAGTCCGAACCCGACTCCGGTACTTCTCAGTTTTGGGGATAATCCTAATTCTAACCTACTCAAGAGGGCTCTGGCATCTCTGTTATTTAACTGAACCACAATTTCAGCAAAAACTCTTTTAATCTCGAACATTTTGTTTTAATAAGTAAGTCTTAAAAATCGATTTTAACTTCTGAATGCATGTCTCTCTTTCCCTTGCAAACAAGCTGTTTAATGAAACTTGAGACTTTTAAAGGAGAAAACCCACCCACATGTCAAAGGCTCCAACAAGTGCAATGAATTTGTGACAGCGGTTAAATTGTTCGTCCTCGGAAGTACTGGAATTGATCATCCTAGTCGTGTACGTCCAAAGCTAGACTTGCTACAAGGAAGAGCACCTGCAAACCTTTTGAAATGATGTAATCAAATATGGGAGACAAAAACTGTCACTTGTACAAAATCTTACGTTTGTTCTTCGTTACAGATCAACATCAGATTTCAGTTAAAATAATTTATCTCATGCACATTTCGCTTCTTAACTGAAACTGTATTGTAGGAAAATTGTGTTCAAGTAAGGAGCTTAGAAAAGGAGGCTATTCTAACCTCCTTGTCAGGAAGTGTTAGATTCTTCTTTCTTTTCATACCTACACATCTCCGTTAAAATTTAATTCCATACTCTCATACTGTTCTGAGATTTCTCTTCATTGTCATTAGCGACGTTTTAAATATTTTACCTATAACATGAGTTAGCTTTTGAGAAAAACTAATTCCAGCTGGAGTTCCAAATAAGACAAGTGCCGTATTTTTTGTTATTTAATTATTTATCATTAAATTAAATTTGTTTTGATCTCTTTACATTTTCTTGGATTTTAATTATTTATTATTTTATTAGTTACTTTATTTCTGTATTTTTATTCATCTTTCCTGACAGACTTTTATAAATTAAGCATGCTTTCTGGTGAATAAAAATTTTGACATGAAGATAGGGGCTCTTTCCTTAAAAATCTCAACCTCCATCAAATGTTTGTTTGGCAGTGAAAGACAGGCATGCATTCAGGATTAGAATAGGCATATTTATTATTAAAATAAAATTTTTCTACTAAATTAAAATTCACTTAAATTGCACTTTTGGTTGTGGTGGAAATATTATTCATCGAACTTGATAGCTTTCCTTTCTGATAGATTTCAGTTTTCCTGTTAAAACCTTCTTAACGAAATCACTATGCAACAGTAAATAACAAGGATATTCGACCATAAGTTTCTTGAAAGCAGAGAACGTTTTCCTGCACCTTTTTAAATTTTAGTTTATCTGCAACACATTTGACCAAACTTTAATAAAACCAGACAAGATCCTAATTCTCAGGAAAAGAAGTAAAAATATGACTTAAATATATAAGTCAAATATTTTTCTTGGAAGAAAAAGAACGAGAGGCTTGCAACTGAAGACAAATTTAATAAAGGGCTCATATGAGCCGTATTATATATAAAACAAAATAATGTACAAATTCTTAATTAAATTCCCACTAAGTATTTTTTTTTTTTTTTTTTTTTTTTTTTCCCAATTTGAATGCTTCATATCCACCGAAAAATTCTCTGATAACAAAGAGGTGTAACGTTGTGTTGGCAGTTTTTCCTCATCATAGTTTGGTTTTTCTAAGGAGTCCATTTGCTGGCAGAAACTGTTATAGAAGTGTTGACCGAGACTGACTACTGTAGCTAAGCAAGTGTTATTTTTATTTACTTAGCATTTGAGTATGATGTATGATTTTGAGATATTTAAATCGCGCCATCTCAGTGGTATTTTATTATATATATAACATTCTCTACTGCCACTTGGATTTATATATATATATATATACAAATGCACAAGGGAAGAGAGGATGTTGGGATTTTAGGTTAATAAAGGAAAATCATTACATTTAGACTATGAAAAAAGGTAAATTTTAAAAGGTACAAAAATAATAAAATTTATAAAATATTTTTATTAAATGAAGAATCAAAGAAAGAATATTTTTTACATAAAAATATATATTTCTTTATGATATGCTAAGTTGTAGATGTATGTCAAAGAAAGAGAACAATTATTCATTAAAGCGAAATATTCCACCACCCCCCCCCCCCGCCATTACAAGTCTGCAGATCAGAAGCCAGTTGCACTGTGGATCGAATAGCCGTTCTTCACAGCCGCACACATTTACCTTCAGTGCCATTGAAATCATCAAAAATGTGACATTAAAAAAAGTATTTTTTATAATTTCTTCAAGTATATCTTTGCAAGACTGCAAAACCCACTGAACTATTGCAGTTTTTTATTTTTTCTTTTATTATTATTATTTAAAATTTATTTAGATATACGAGGTGTGACACAAAAAAGGCGAGACTTAAGTGTATAGCTTGAAAAAAGAGTGGAGTTGGCAACAACTGTTTTTGTGACGTCATCCCACACATTTCCTCTATCCAAATAATATGTATTGTTAAGAAGGAAAGCTTCGCGGCAGCAGGAGTGGCTCCCTCCGAACGAAAAGGGACACAACTGCGCATGC